TTAAATAAAGGTTAGTTTGATTGGTGAAGCCAACATCTCACAGAGTGGCGTAGGCTGCACTGAGCCTACGCCACCAAACATAAGCCTCTTCTTTATGATAAAAGGGAATGCTATCTAAGCAAGGAACACTGAGCGTTATGTGTAAGAAAGAATTAATCCCACATGAAAGTGCTATTGTCATGCAGTGCCTCGTGCTCAGCAGCTCTGTGATCCTCGGTGCAGCGTGATGACAGACGCTTTCATCTGTTACTCTTCAGTTGTGACCAAATCTTTCTGCACTGTAACCACTAGCCATCTCTTCTTCCTACCCTTTGTTGCTCACCCACACATTTTCACAGCCACGCAGCAACAGACGGGCTAAATTTAGGCTCTGCTGTAGCCAAACTCTGCCTAATAGCGCTGCTTTTTCTTCATCTTTCCTCATTCAGCCTGTTTTCATCTGTTTCTTTTTGTGTTGTTCTGCTCCTCAGTGTTCTCCCAAGACGTTTCTACTGTTCAGTCAGTGGGTGGAACGTGAAATTTAGCAGGCTTGGTTCCAGAACATGGCTTTGAACAGACTCAAATTGACCTTCTGAGGAAATCTCTGGTCAAATCAAGAGCCACAGTCCGGTAAATTGCCATATGGGAGCACAGCAGATGTGCATACTGTGCTGCACTCACTGGAGAGAATCCTGAACAGGTGGATTACGCTCATTGCCTTTTGAATCTGAGCTCAAGGACAAGAATAGACATCCACTGATGCAGAAAAGTGTGAAAGCAGGAGGGGTCAGAGGTGGCGTCTACAGCACCGAGTCCCTCCTCAGAATAATCCACACAATGGGCATCTTCCCCGTTTTGCTCCAAATGCACCACAATCTAAGATTAAGCATTAAAATGAAACTGACATTTTTGTCCTGCAAACCCAGAAAACTGTGAATCTCTCACTGTCAACTAGTTAGAAACTAACAAACTATAATGTTTTTAAGGCTTAATGACGTGATACCATTATTACCATTTTATGGGGAAAGAGACAAGAGGAACTAATGTAATCTGAAGTCCCTCAGACACTCTAAGCTCAAGAACAAAATAAAATAATAATAATGTATACTTCATCGTCACAAGAAATTCCTCTCTGCATTTAACCCATTCACTCAGTGAAGCGGTCAGCAGCCACCAATCTAGCGCCTGGGGAGCAGTGTGTGGGGACGGTACCTTGCTCAGGGGTACCTCAGGCTAGCCGTTAAGTGGATTCGAACCCCTGACCTTCCGATCATGGGGCGACCACTCTACCTACTGAGCTATCCCTGCTCAGATCAAAGGCATTAGACGAAATGGTCAGAGCCAAGCAGCTCTTGAAAACAGGCTGACCGCACAAAGCCCGACTATTCTCAGGACAGAAAGACAAGTGCTGCTGTATCTGCCATCACCCCACTCAGCAACCATGAGTCAAAGAGGAAGCATTTATTTACATGGCTGACACTCTGCCAGGGGTTTTTTATGGCTGTGTGGCATTTTAGGAGCCAGCAAACAGCTGACGGCACCAACCTTTGAGAATTGTGGCTCTAAGGAAGAAAGACGGGGGGAAGAAAGTGCTGCGATATTAAATTTTTAGCTGCTGCTTTAGTAAATTCTTGACAAATTCTGGATTATTTTTCTGCTGATTGCTGCATTGATTAATCAGTAAAACAATCTGCAGCATTATCGGTGATAAAAAATAACTGGTAGTCCTCGTTTCAGGGCCATTGTGCTCCAAAGATGTGACCTAAACCTAAACATGCGCCTGACGTACAGACTCCTGCTGGAAATGTTTCACACTGAACATTCGGAGGAATATGCTACAGTATGTTCTGAAATGCTAATGTTATTGAAATCATCATATGGTATAGTCAGTCATGTGATTCTGCACCTCCCACACAAGGACACTGGTTTCCCTTTGAGAGAAGCTGTTGTCATGGAAATAGTCCAGACGTTTCCCAGTCATAAGATCACAGAGAAGAATAGCGTCCGGGGAAAACAAAAAGGATAAATATCTTTGATTTCAGCTGCTGCCATCAGTTAATAATGTTTTATTTCTCTTAGTAACAAATCAAGTGTT